GCAGGACTCTAAGGAAATGAAGTCTCTGTTGGGCTTTCCAATCACCAGGGACGTATTGTTTTTCCAGGTGAGATCTTGACTAATAGGCACTGCCAAGAATTTAAAAGAGGAAGCCCTCTCCACACAGCCCCCCACGATATACAGTGGGGCAGGGTCCTCTCTGTGCTTCCGGAAATCTAGTACCATCTCCTTTGTCTTACTAGTATTTAGATGTAAGTTGTTTCTTAAGCACCATGTGGATACCTTCTGGACTTCTTCCCTGTATGCTGGGTATTGAAGTCCATCCAATATTCTACAATGTAGAGCTACATCCCTTTTTTTAATCTACCAAAAAAATCACAACCCCAATCAGTAGAAGTAGTCCTTGACTTAAAACAGTTCATCAAATTCAGATGCTTGGAAAGTGGTTCATACTTATGATGGTTGCAGTGTCCTGGGGACATGTGATCAGCTTTTGCAAACTTCTGACAAGCAAAGTCAATGTGGAAGCCACATTCACTTAACAACCCCATGGTACTAACTTAACAAATGCAATGATTCACTTAACAACAGTGACAAGAAAAATCGTAAAAGCGGGGCAAACTCATTTAACAAATGTTTTACTTTGCAGCATAAATTTTGAGCTCAATTATGGTCGTAATTTGAGCACTACCTGTGTGCTCAAAGAAGAATTTCAATTCACTCCACATAGCCCAATGGAGTTGTTTATTATGTCTAGCTTAATATTTGGTCCCCACATGAACGGAGAGATCAAACGACACACCACGTGAGGTCGATAGCGAGCCACACAGCTAATTCACAAGCGCCTGAAAGCAAGGTCAGCAAAACTAAACCATAGCTGCGCGTTGAGACCATTGTCCTCTCCGAGCTGCCGTAGCTGAATTTTAAGCCCATTGCCTCTCGGTCGGATTCGGGTAGCCGGAATTGTTCGTGCGGATTGAGCCCTTTTCTAAGAGCATGGCGGCGGCGGAGGCAGAGGCAGAGATAGCAGTAGCTTCCACCCATGACGGCGGCACAGAGAGAAGACGCCATCAGTGTGGTGGGAGCGGCGACGCATATCGGGAGCGGCTGGACGACGACGGAGTTCGGACCCTCACTTCGGCGGAGCAGGTGGGACTGGACACCGCCCCCGCTTCTCTTGCAGTGAGACTACAGCTCCCAGGGTGCATTGTGGCGCGGCTTCAGGGAACCCGCGGGCTGGATGAGCGTGCCGCGGGGCGCGTTCCTCGCGGCGTCTCGGAACTATCCGGGCTATGGGGCGCGTGAATGGGTTTTACCCTCTGTTGAGCGTGCGAGTTCATTGCTGGTAGCCTATTGCACGGGGAAGTTAATGCCGCGGGCCATATCCAATGTTTTCTCCGACTGTGCTTGCCTGGGGAGGAACTGGGCCGTACCAGACACTTGAAACGTAGCGGGCTGATTTATGGTTCATGATGTTGCGAATTTGCCTATAGTGGTTATGGTCCAGTGGATTCTGAAAACCCAGTTAATTCAGTAAACCAGTTAATGTGTTGTGTGAATACACCCCCCTGTATTTGAATTCCTTGTCGTCTTCCCTAGAAAATCAGTTTATAAAAGGAGAGAATTGCTTTGGTGAGAAACTGCAGAAAACATTTTGGTGGAGTTAAATGGTTAACGCTTGAATGTTGTAAATTCACACACACAGACAGGACATTTTAAATCTAGAGGAACATTTGCAAAGCTTGGAAATCCCTGGAGTTTAAATACTAACGTCTTCGATAAGTTTCACAAACTATTTCTTAATAGTCAAAAGAAAACAATTTTGATAGAAGAAGGAAAAGTATGTAATTTTACACATCAGGTTATAAAACATCTTATTTGTTAAGCAGCTATTTCTACCAGTACCTAACTACTGTTGCACTTTCTGTCTTTCCAATCCATCCCATGATAAGTGATAGGTCTGAATGGCTGACAGTACTTCTATGAATTTAGTTTAAGGTATTTGATACCAGAGTTAAACAGAAACAATCTTTCTCTGTATTCCTAGCTAGAAACTTTTGGGGGACATTCAGGGAAGATAAGTTTTGAACAATGGCTAAAGCTAATAAGGGTTGTAGGGGTGACATTTTGACTATAGTAGCTAATACAAAGGCATTCTTTTTACTTGGTGTATGTGTTGAAATATACCTTAGAGCAGGATGGCTAACCTTTTTGTAGTCGCGTGCCAGAAGTGTGCGTGTGTGACAGTGCGCATGTGCACCCACAACAGCATGCGTGCACACACCGTAATGCAATGTGTGTGCAACAACCTGGCACGACTCTGCACATATGTGTGCAACCCCTCCATATGTGCCCACCCCGCACATGCATGTGCAACCCCCATGGTCCCCTATGCTTGCGTGACCCCCTGCACTCCCCCACTCCCTGCGCATGCACGCATGACTCCCCTTGTGTGCCCCCCGCATGTGCACATGTCTCCCGCATGCTCCCCATGCATGTTCAACAGAGACCCGAAAACCAGCTGGACATTGGGATATGCATCTGGCTGTGCGGTGGAGTCAAGCTGGGGCTTGCGTGCCCGTCGAGAGGGCTCTGCATGCCACCTGTGCCACACATGCCATAGGTTCACCATCACAGCCTTAAGAGTTTTAAGTTGGAGTGAATGGATTGGAAAGGTAGTAATTGATTAAATGGAAATAGATTCATAGTGTGAAAGTGCAGCATACTTATTGCACCTGACAATCAGATGTCATTGAGAAGAAGACAATATCATGAATTTTGGAGTTCAGTAAGTTATTAGCTCTATAATTATTCTAGGTTTTCAAATTGCAAGAACTCAAATCATATGTTTTGTATATGTTTGTTTAAGTAATGGGCAAAATTTAATCTGCATCTGTAATTATTTTTTCCAAGAGTGGAAGATACTCCTAAGAGTTACATCCTTTTAAAAGTTATTACCACGTTAGGGTTCTCTGTTGCTTGCCTTTTCTTAAAGATAACATAACTGCTTTATAGCAGTTACATCAATAAATCAGTGCAAAAAGAATCCTCTCAGTGTGTTTTAAGCATAGAAGATTTATTGTGTTGTATACTGTACTTTTATAGCCAAATTATATTTTGTAGCCCACAAAAGCTTTTATAACACAATAAGTCTATTGATCTTACAAGATTCTTTGTGCACTTGTTGTAACAGACAAGCATAGCTGTCATTCTGGATTAGTCTTTTCCAGAAAATAAATAAAGCATCTTAAACAACAGTGTCTTGTGAAACCTTACAAATGAACCTCTTTATTATCACAAGTTTTAATAGGTCACAGACTATCTCATTAGATATATGAAATATAATCCTGGGAAAGAAGTGTTTCGCAAACAAATCAGAGGTGGGTTTCCCATAATTTTACCACTGGTTCACTGCACATCGAAAATGTGAGCTCACACACACAGCCTTCTGTGCATGCGCTTTGCTCATGCGTGTGGTTTGCACGCATGCACACAGCTTAGAAAATGTGGCTAACTAGGAAGGCAAAGGGCCGGGGCGGTGGTCGCCACTACTGATTCATCAAACTGGCTGAATATCACCATTGATACAAATACACTTAATTTTGCTGACATGCGTACATACTATACATATTGTTTTAAAAGGTATTGTAACTGAAAAATTTAGAATGAGTGGGCAGATGATTCTAATTTATTTTCAGTAATTTCATTACATTAATATCCTTTTCTCTTTTTTTGTAAAATATACATTATTCCATGTTCAGAGTACCTTCTGGTTAATAAAATCTTAATTTGGTGGTGATATTATAATAGTTTGTTCCTGAAGACTTTTCAAGCTTGACAATGAAGGGAATTTGAAGTAGAGCACTTATGCTTGGCATATACCAGCTTTGATTTATTTGTGGAATTAAGCAGGGGCAGGAAAAGCCTGTAACATCTGGACAGGGCTGCTCTTTGGTGCTGATTAGTAAGCTTAGGTCTCATCATCCTAGCACCACCAAATTCTTTGGGACTGCAAATCAGGGAAATGCCATTTTTATACACCTAAGAAGCACCAGGCTGAGAGCAAAGGTACGCTGGATAGATAGTTTAATTTGAGGTTAAAGGGCTCATGCTTTTTAAGACTATGTTAAAAACGTGAGTTAGTAGTCCTAGTATTATTTTGTATTTGTCCCAAAGGAATCAGAAGTCCATGAATTTAAGATAACCCTCCCCATGAAAAAAAAAAGATTGGAGAGCAAAAATTGTCTGGTTAATGTATTTTCTGCAATTTTAAAGTTATTCTGTCATTTAAAAGATGCATAATCTCGACCCTATAATCTGCATTCATAGAAAAACTTGAAAGAGCCAAACATCTTTCTTAAATCCCTGAAGAGAAGCATGTTTAAGTCAGGATACACATAGCTGTCAAAACAATTCTGTATTATCCAGTGTGTTTGGATTCTATGGCCTACAGTTGAGTTCAGTTGCTCTTGTTGCCCTTCTCTATACCGTAGGCCAAAATGACAATTAGATTTGAAATTTGGTGCTAGAAACCTGAGATATCCCTGAGGTAGAATCACTGTCATCATTCCAGGAGATCATTCCATGAAAGAAGATAATATTTTTTAAAAAAAATTAAGACAAGAAAATACTACAAGGCAACCTGCACAAAAATGCGAACTGTTTCTTTAATTGGACACAATTAAGACTAGCTGTAGAATGCAATTTGAGCTTTCCCAGAAGATATGTATTGCTTGAACAGGCAACAGACTCTCACAAATATCTTTGTTGGTTTTGGCTTTTGCCTAACCTGTGTTTTGGAAAGCAAGACTGGCTATTATTTTAAACAATGAAAATTGGGATATACCTATCCCTTTATGGCTTTTGAGTCCCCTAATTGTGAAGCCTTTCATTATCTATATACCATCCAAGTTTTGAATGACATGTTTTCTCCTGTCCGTTTACCATTTCTATACTCAGGTCAGTCAGTGCAATAAGGAACAACTTGAGGAACAGGAGGAAGAGCTGCAATTAAGACAATGGTCAGATAAAAGGAATCTGTATCCAGGCCAGAAATGTAGTTTGAGAAAGTGTCTCAAATATGTTCCTCCCAAATTCTCACAAAGATAAGGGGGCAGGGTGAAGGAATGGGATGCATTCAGACTTGCAAGTTTCTGTTACTATCATCTTATGGTAAAAGTAGTAATACTTGTAGCTCTTGTGTCTTTGGTTTCTAAGTTTGGTTTATTTTGGAGGGCTGACATCAAGTTTCCCCTGCTCTGTTTTTCTATCCCTTGTTATGCATCTCAGAGAGCTTAGGTCTCAATGGCCAACAATTTTTTTTATAGAAGCTTCATAGGTGGGTCTTTTGTTTTTACCATTCACTGAGAACTAGAATTACAGAATTTTAGAAGAATTCTGGAGCCTTGTAATAGAATATAAATAACTTGTGTCCTTGATTGTTCATCTCATTTCCTCTTTAGGCTCTAGATTTTAATTTTGGTGATCGCCATAAAGTGCTTTTCATGAGCATAACAGCCAGTAGTGTGTAGTATTGTAATGTGTGCTATAGCTAGTTTGGTCTAGTACCATGATGGCGAACCTATGGCATGCATGCCACAGGAGGCACATTGAGCCATATTTGCTGGCCAGCCGTCAGCTGATGTTCGGCCTTCCAGAAGGCCAGGGGAGGCCGTTTTCTTCATCCTCAGGCTTCAGGAAAGCCTCTTGAGGCTGGGGAAGGTGAAAAACAGGGAACTGTGGGAGCAGGCAACCCTTCCAGTATTTGCAGTCCAGTCAGTGCCATAGGTCAGAACATGGGCAACCAGACGAACTGGAAGTTCAGAAACAATCCATTTCCAGCTTCTGGGGGGCTGGGGAGGCTGTTTTCGCCCTCTCCAGGCTTCAGGAAAGCTCTGGAGCCTGGGGAGGGGTCTTGTATGCATGCACGGAGAGGTCACGCATGCATACGCAGGTGGGGCAGGGAGGATTGAATTGGTGTGGGCATGCGTGCGTGCGCAATAGCGCACACACAGTTTTGGCACACCATAAGAAAAAGGTTCTCTATCACTGGTCTAGTGGTTAAGGCACCAAGCTAGAAAGCAAGAGACCATGAGTTCAAATCCTTTCTTAGCCATGAAAGCCAGCTGCATGACCTTGGGCCAGTCACTCTGTCTCAACCCAACCTAACTCGCAGGGTTACTGAAGGGAAAATAAGAGGAGGAAGGTATGTTGATATGTTTACTGCCTTGAATTACTTATAAAAATAATAATGGTGGAATAGAAATAAATTAAAAAAAATAGCTACCATGTTGAGGGGATGGCAGCAAACTAAGCAACAGCCTTGTTCAGTAGAGGCAAGGAAACTGGCAAATTGCTGCTCTGGAGTCACTTTAATTTGCCATGGAAGTGTTTCTTTGTAAGTTTGCTCTGTTGAACAACCAATAATATAATAGAAACCCTGAAAATTGAGTTTTTTTGCCCCTTTCTAAAGCAACAATAGACTGCATATTTTTATTAGTTTGAAGAGTCATTTGTTCTACTTGAGAGCATTTTTCAGTTAATGTTTCTTGCTGCTACCAGTGTTTCTATTAATATTTTATTTTCTGCCATTGTATTCAAGTAAAATATCGATAAGTGGTATATGACACATTTTAGTGCTCCTAAAGAATTTACTGCTAGCATTTTTTTGCTATTGTGTTCCACTGGAAATGATACATCATAGGGTTCCTCAAATTGTTTGATCCTAGAAGTATTAATTAAGATTGTGGAAAGCCATGTTGATACCAGCGCAGTGTATCAGCATGGAAACCTCTGCACCAGTGGGGTACAAAAGGCTCTACCTGGGTGCATTCACAGTCATTAAAACTCTTCTGACATGTTATGCTATGACATCATTGTACTGCAATGTGATGATTGACCTCCTTACATAACAATCATTGTGCTAATTTTAGTGCTTTCTTTTTCCATGTTTTCTGTGACTCTTCTTTGTCCCCTTGGCTTGATGCAGACAAAAGTGGAAGATATTGTTCAAGAAGTTTTTGATGTTTACAAAAGAAATCATCACGACACCCAGTAAGTTATTGTATTCATGTTCCTTTTCTTCTATATACATTATACAATTAAAAAAAACCAAAAACTGTTAAGGACTTTGGATCTTGAATTTTGCTGTTTTATCTTTTTTGAGGAATGTGTTCTTTTTACAGCAATCTCCTACACTTATTTTTATACCTGCAGGTTATCTCTTAATCCTACAAAGACCCTTATGGAAGAAGATGCAATTGGGGGCAATCATGGGGGCAGATGGGGAAGGGTTTATGTTTACGTATCTAAATATTCAAGCATATATAACCGCCTGCAGCTTTAATACACACTTGTGGAATATTGTATGGCGTTCCATTCATTAAATCTTAGAGAAACATCATGAAGTCACCCTTGTTGTTTTTGTGTTGGACGACAGTCTGCTGTTCTGAATAGGAGCTTTTCTTCCAGTGCAAACAACAGAGGGGAGGGGAGAAAACCCCACCCTATAGCCTTCTCACCCTCATCTCTATCTCTTCTCTACTTCTGTTTCTTATTCTTTTTAAAACTTTACATAGTTAGCAATTGTGGCTTAGCCAAAAAAAATCCCTCCCGCATGAAACAGACAGGATAAAAAGCTTATGAAATCAAGCACTTCACTGACTATTTTTTTGTCATCTTGGGTTTATGCATGTATGTACTTTTCTTCATTTTTATATTATTATTTGAAGTCTTCTCTCTGTAAGAATCTGTTTTCTAGAAGATCCTGGCCTGATCCACAATATTACTTTGATTCACCCTTCAGTGACCTGCCTATTACATTCATGTGTCTCTTTCAATCACATATGTTCATTTGACTGATTTTTCCATTTTAATAGTGTTTTTCTCCCAGATGTTTCTTGATTTTGGAGAACACTCTTCTTAGTGAAGTTGTTTTAAAATCTTTTACATTGTATACTGGGTAATTATTTTAGATGTTTTGTAATAATAGCAATCAAAACAACTGTTAATCATTAATATTGCAATAAAATGGCAAGAGGTAGAAATTATTTTGTTATCTTTCAGGTTTATCCAACAGATATCAACTGACCGTTTGACACAAATTATTTTATTGATGCACCTCATTGCACTATTAATTTATGGCAGGATGCTCAAACTTTACAAGACTCCTTAGATTGCTCTCCCTCCATAAAAAAAAAAGACTTTATTAGGGGTTGGGCTGGGAAAGCAAAAAATCTACCACCTATTTTCTATACAATCTTACTTTGTGACCACTATAGGCAGACTAATCACATTTAGGTTTTCTTTACAAAACCTTTTTCAAAGTTAAAATATTTAAAATAATGATGAAGGTTCTGAATGCACCAAAATTATGCTTGTAATTTGTGCACTGGTCCTCATAACCTGAAATGGTTGCTTGCTTCTGGTCTGAGCAGTTATTTGGATGCTGACCAGAATGTCCATTATATGGGCTTGGTTTGCTCTAACATAGCATTAAGTGTATTATGACTGCATTTGCACATAATGAGAAGCCATATGGCTAACTAATGACTGAACAGTGTAATAGTATATGCTGTTCAGATTAGATCCATTGGCTTCTTCTTCAAGAGAGTACAGTTAACAAACATGGATAACTGTCACAGCTTGTGTAGTGTAATCCGTGAGCCTCAGGCCAGACTTATTCCAGTAAGAATAAGACCAGATTCCTGATTTAAATCCAAGCTCATTTTGCTTGTTTGTGGAAAGATAAAGGTACCTGTATATTGGTAAGCCAGAATTCCTTTTGGGTGAAGAGGCCTGGTAGTTGCTCAAAGAACACACCCATAAATACAAACACATCACATTCCATATATACACTTATTTATGGAAAATGCAGGTTATTCTTTGTCCTTTTAATTAACTGAATGACAAGCAAGTCTGTTCATCACTCAGATGGTCCTCTATAACTTTGCTAAACTCTATATGTTTCGGTCAATCCATTAGGTATGTTTTGCAACAAGAGAAACATTTCCACTACTTGAAGAGAGGACTGAGGCAATTGACTGATGCCTATGAGGTAATTTTTTGCAATTTGAACCAAGTGTGTGTGTGTGTGTGTGTTGCTTATTGATTATGTTGCAGTTTGTTGGTTTCTAATAATAGATTTGGCCATGGACTATACTTTTTTCTTTTGCTTCTATCTTTACAATTTTCAGGCACTCGAATATTAGGTGGGCTAGAAGAAGAAAATTGAGTTCTATTGGCTGGCCCTGTTAGCTCCTTCAATGGAGGAGCAACCCCCTCTAAAATTCCAAGTTGTTGCAAGCAGAAAGACCATGAGAGATAGCAATTCTGTGAATTGCAGTCTCAGCACATTTGTAGAGTGCCAGACTTGGAAGGAAAAGCTCCTTGGATTAGTTACTTGTAGTTATTGCTTTGCCTGGATAGTAATAAATAAAAAGAGAGGATACCATGAGGTTATTACTGAACAAATCATAATGATTTTTTTTTTTGCGCTGTTGGAATGCTCCCAAGTTCAATTTCTTTTGCCTCTTAATAGAATTTTTTTATTTTTGTTCTCTTACATACCATTTTAAGTATACATTCACATAATTCTTCTTCTTCTTTACATTTGTCATTCTTATATACATTTATTATTTCATGTAATAGGTCATAATGTACAGTTTGGGTTGCTTTATTTACCATCCCTTCCTCCTGTTGTGATACCACCTTATTTTCTCTTTCTCTTCTCCCTCCCTCCCTTCTCTACTTCCTTCCTTTCTCCTCTCCTTCCCCTTCCTTCTTTTTTTACCTTTCTCCTACTCTTCCTCTTCCCCTCCCTACCCTCTCTCATTCTCTTCCTCTCCCTTCCATCCTCCTCTCCTTACCTCTTTCTTTTTTCCCCTGTCTTCCTTTCACTCTCCTTTCTCCCTTTCTTTTCTAGTGTTGTAGGTGTCTCTTTCAAACATTTCCTTGGGATGGTATTTCCGAAAACTCAAATAAAATTTGGTATCATTTCTTATTCCCTTACCTTCGCTAATCTATTCTAACAATGTTTCCTCCCCTTTAGATCTTGCTCTTGAATATATACTTATGTATTTAATATTTTCTTTTCTGTTTTCCCCTTCTTACCCCCCTTTTCCATTTAACAGTGCATCATCTAGGTTCTGTGTCTTCTCCCCACTTTCTTTTCTAGTTTCCTTTCTCTAGCCAAACATAAAATCTTCCCCACGTCCTGAAGTGCTCCGATTCCTCTATATCCTTTATTCTCATTGTCAACCTATTCATCTCTGTACAATCTAATTTTTTAAATTATCTCTTCATCTTTTGGTAGCTTATTTAATTTCCAATTTGGGGCAAATACAATTCTTGCTGCTGTAATTACATGTATAATCCAATAAGTATCCTCTTTCTTAAATTTCTCTGAGATAATATCTAGTAAAAATATCTCTGGTCTAAATTCTATTTCTTCTTGTAACATTTTCTTTAACCATATTCTTAACTTAGTCCAATATTTCCTTGCTTCTGCACATGTCCACCACATATGATAATAAGAACCTATTGCTTGTTGACACTTCCAACATTTCACTGATTTGCCTTTAAACATATTTGCTAATTTCTTTTGCTTCTTAGATGTGCTGTTTGCTTTTCAGTACCATATTTTTCAGAGTATAAGATGCACCTTTTTCCCCTCAAAAAAGAGGCTGAAAAACTGAGTGTGTCTTACACACGGAATACAGCATTTTTTGTCTCCTGAAACCCTGCCCCTTTCACCAAAATGGCTGTGCAGAGCCTTTAAGAGGCTTGTAGAGTGCTCCTGGGGGCTGGGGAGGGCAGAAATGAGCAAAAAATGGGCCATTTTTTGCCCCCCCCCCCCCGGAGCACTCTATATGCTTCCTAAAGGCTATTCATGCTCTTTTTTGCAAAAACAGGCTGATTTTGGTAGTCTGCAGAATGCAAAAACCTTTTTTTTAATTTGCCTCTTCAAACTCTTGGCGCATCTTATACTTCGGTGCGTCTTATACTCTGAAAAATATGGTACTTCTGATAAATCTCTTGCACAAAATAATCCCTCGTTTGAGGCAAATGTAGTACTTCTTGTTGTGTGAGATTTGAACAGGTGTAGCTCTCTTCTTTTTGTAGTGTCTGGATGCCAGCCGTCCATGGCTGTGCTATTGGATCCTGCATAGCCTGGAGCTCTTGGGGGAACCAATCCCAGATTCAGTAGCATCAGAGTAAGTTTGGTTTAATCAGATGTACTTTTTCTTTACCATTATGGGCATTTACACAGAAATTGCACCATGTACAATATGTAATATAGGAACCCCTCCTATTTTGAAGATTGATTTCCTTAAAAGTTTCTAGTCCTCATTGAAGATTTTTAAAAAAATACTGCAGTTAACCTCTGCTGTAGAAATCAAGAAAAGTTTAATCAGAGTTTTGGATTCTATGCATCTTTAATTCTGTTTTTTTCCAATAAGCTACTTAATAAAGTTACCTAAATTAAAATTAGAAATTGGAAAGAGTCTGGTGGTAACTTTTCTGATTAACTCATTTTATTAAAAGGCACAAGCTTTCATGAGCTTCAGTTCAGTTCATTAAATGAAAAGAGCGGCTACATAGATGTAGCCTTTAAATTGGGATGAGGTTTCGGGTGGAAAAGACAAGAGTGATCATGCAGAAGCAGGATGCAGGTGAGACAGATTACTAGTACATTATCAGTAAATAATTGTATTAAAGTTAAAACTCAGAGTTCACATAAGAGAAATAACTGGTAAGTGTAATGTGAAGTGGAGCTCTTTTCCACTGCATTTAACATTTCTGCAGCAAAAAATGACTATAGACATTGATATTCTGAAATCTTCATCAGCTATGCAGAGCAGCTGATTTTCTGAGTTCACATCCCATTGTCCATGCAACACGTGTCCAGATTATTTTAAAAATACAACAGTGCATTGTCTCATTCATTTTGCGCCAATGATGTTTTAATAATTTGTTCTTCAGTAGAAGCTTTTAGTACTTTTTGTGATGGGCTTAGATCAGGGGTGTCAAACTTGATTTCATTGAGGGCCACATCAGGGTTGTGTTTGACCTTGGGGGGGCGGGGTGAGTGTATCCAGCTCAACGTCAGTCATGTCATGGGGGGCCTTTGGAGGCCTGAGCACTCTGCCAGTGAAAACGGACTTCTGAGCTCCATTTTCGGCTGCAACGGCCTCTGGCAACCCTCTGCCAGTGATAATGTAGTTTGGGAGGGCAGAGGCACTATGAGCCAGTCCTTCACTGTTTACAGGGCAGCCCCGCAGGTCCGATCTAAGCATTCCATGGGCTCGATCCAGCTCCCGGGCCTTGAGTTTGACACCCCTGGCTTAGATAATGGTGGTGGTAAAACCTCTGTTATGTAGAGGAAAGATTCAGGGGAGAGCAGATTTGCAAGGTATGGGGAGATGCACAACAAATGCTACTTCCCCCCATAAGCAACTGTCAAATATACCACATTTCTGACAAGAGAAAAGTTCTGCAGTTTATGAGGAGAAAACTGTCAGACAACCTGACGGACGGGGGAAGTCACACCCCAACTGGGTGCAATTCAAGATTAACCTGCTCAGCTTCCTAGATCATCCATGTTTGACCAGCTACTGCAGCCTATCAAGGCTGTGAATTGCCTTTGGATAATATTTAAGTTTGTTTAATGTGATGAGGATGAGTCACCTTGAGCATTGGGCATATGCCTCATCTCTCTCCATTTTAAAATAACTGCAACTTGTGTGGTCTGAATCCTAAATTATAGTTCATTTTAATTTCATGAACTCAGCTGAGAAATTGGTCTATTTTGACAAACTATAATTAAGGTAGTTTAATTCATAGGAGTATTAGTTGTTGAAACCTGATTAGATCATAGCAAGTGATAAGGTTACTCTGAATAATTAAGGGAGAGAGTTCAGAAATCATATCTGACCAGAACAAAACCATAGTGGAAATCATGCAGTTAGCTAAGTAATCTTGATGAGAAACAATCCTTGAGCAGATATTTTGGTTCTTCAACCACTATACACTTCTCCTGTAGGAGCGCAAGATGGTTATTTTGCACTCCTTTTCCCTGCTTTCCTCTTTCTGCAGATCTTTCCCCTCCTGTAGAAGGCAAACATTTTATAGTTTGAAGAAAAACAAAAATGTCCCCCCGGAGCAACCGTAAAGCAACCATAAGCTGCATTGTCCAAGTGGTGTGTTTTTTCAGATTTGGTACAATCAATTGAAGATATAAATTCTGTGTCAGTGGAATATGGTGGCATGGGAATGGTGTTAAAATTTGTGCTACAATAAAAGTTCTGGATCCCCCCCCCCCATTACCTTATGATGGAGATAACATGACAGGAGGGAGACATCTGAAAAAGTCTTGAATAATAGCTGTTTTCAGAAATGGGTGTACCAGAGAGAGTGTTAGCAAAAACTGAACTATTGAGAAACTTAGCATTTGCTGCTTGTTACAGACCTGTTTTGCCTTTGCCTTTCCTTGGTGTGTAGTGTGTGCCAATTCCTGAGCCACTGTCAGAGCCCAAACGGAGGCTTTGGAGGAGGACCAGGCCAACACCCACATCTTGCTCCAACATATGCAGCTGTGAATGCTCTCTGTATTATTGGCACTGAAGAGGCCTACAATGCTATCAACAGGTAAAATCATAGCTCAGAAGGAGATCTAAGGGATTGTTAGTTCCATTCATGATGTAGGATGTCTAAAATATTCCTGGGAGGTACTACTATTCTCCCAAGCTTCCCTATTTCACTTAATGCAGAGGAAATGACAACTGATAAGCGAGCAAGAAACTATTTTCTCTTACAGACTTTGCCAACAGATGCTGTTTGGCAACTAGAGCACATCCTCTGGTTTTCATTACTGTTGTTTACATTCTTTCCCACTCTTTTTTTGTATTAGACTAGTCGTAGCCCAAGTTGGCTCTTGTGACTTATAGGTTATGATGAACAGTGGGAAACAAACATAAAGCAGTACCTGTTCACATTGTTTAGAATTATGTGAGTGTAGACCAGTGTTTCTCAACCTTGTCAACTTGAAGATGTCTGGACTTCAACTCCCAGAATTCCCCAGCCAGCATTCGCTGGCTGGGGAATTCTGGGAGTTGAAGTCCAAACATCTTCAAGTTGACAAGGTTGAGAAACACTGGTGTAGACATTCAATAAGTAAATAAATAAATAAAATAAAGAAAGC